GGGGGGGGAAGAGGGGGAGGTGTGGAAAACAGTGAAATACAAAATTACTCAGAATCATAAAACATATTTTTTGAATCAGATTATTTCAACAACCACATACGTAAATAGGCAGCTTCAAATGAGGACGGCGGCAGAGCTTCTGAATTGCTAAGGCAACTCACCTATTCTTATTTCCATAGAAAAAGATAGAAGCTATAGTTATGTACATCCTTCGAAGTACTCAGAGAATATTGCAAGTTGAATTCCAGAGAAGCCATCACTATCAGTCTGAAAGCGACGGGGAACGGATCGATCGTGCGCTGGCTGGACTGTTAGAGAAAGCAAAGGGATCCTTTTCCTTTTCTTTATTATCATGTTTATGTTTATGCTTATGCTTATGTTTATGTTTCTTCTTCTTTTTCTTGTGCTCATGGTGGTGATGGTGATGGTGGTCACTGTGTTTGGAGGAGTTTGATTCCTTAGTAAAGACAGAGAGTGGAGCTGCTAAGACAGGGTGCATGTTCATCTCTCCTGAAGATTGTTCTTTACCTAAAAAAAATGGATAGAGTGGGATTAATGTATGTTTAACTTGCATTGTTTTCAAACATAAGAAATTTTGAAATATTAGCTAAAACCTACATGATGATTTAAACATGCAAACACAGAATCTGTTATGATACTTGTACCATTAGCTGTTTGGATATTTCAGGAAAGGCTCTGACCATGCCACTAAAGCTCCCGTACTACTGATGATTTTTAGAGAGGTGCTCCTTCCTCCCTCAAAGGCAAAAATGTATCCCAGACAATTCAGAATTGTAAAGAACTAAGAAACTGCAGGTTATGCTAGCTTCCAGAAATTCACTTTTAAACAGAGCAGGAAGGCCGCTATACCATGAATGACGAAAATATAACTGCGTACGAAACCAGAACGCAAAGTGCAGGACTGGTACACGGTAAAGTGCGGCTTTGGGATGTGAACTCCTTTTAGTCAAGGCCTAAAGCTCCCTGCAAGAACATACAAACCTTTTGATACTGAACAGAATTAAATTGCTTTTTCCAAAAATTGCATCTTACAACCAATTCAGCCTATTTGAAAGATTATACAATTTTTTGTCATTAACAAAAAGCAAATTCCAATGCAGACAATGACACCATCTTTATTAGTATATATTTCACCAACAGACTTAAACTACTTATGTGTTGAGTAAGCCTGGTATTGGGATCTGAGGAAGGAAAATCTGATGCATGACCTCTCAATTCCTGAATGACTTTCTCATTCTCTCTTTGGCACATTTAATATTTCATTATTCCATACAAACTGCAATACCTTCAGTAGCAGGGATTAAAGGGCAATAATCTCACAATAACACTGTTAACAAGGGGAAACACTTGAAGGTAGGAATGCTCAAATTCCTTTGGGCAGAAAGTGAATCGCATCACTCACACTCTAAGAACATGCTTTAACTACTGAACAAATGTGGAAAAGCACCATCAGATTTTTGAAGGCAACTACACCTTCAAGTTTTACTTAAAATGGATTTTCATCACAGCTGCTTTAAATGTTTGGGGGTTCGCCCCCCACTCCAGATTTTGGCAAAAATACTCCTGTTAAATAACAAGGAATCACGTTATATATACTTTGTAATTATCTTTTTTCTGTTTATTTAAATTTTTTTTTATCCGAGTACATCTTTGTTAGGTTGGTTTTTGTATCTTTAAAGGCAAGAATGATTCACCTATGGTAATGATTCCTGGAAATCTGAAGAGCCAGCTCCCTGTAGTATGACAAACAAGCATTGAGAAAGATTTCCATGCAATCTTTCCAGCCTTATCCAAAAGATTAAGAACTGATTCAATCAAGCACATACATAGGAAAGTTTCTAGACAGTACAGCTGTTCTGGTTTTTGTTTGTTTGTTTGTTTTTAAATATGGCTGGAAAACAAAATCTGCATCTGTTTGCAGTGTTTAGAAGTCAGAATAGAAATACAAAACATTTTTACAGTGAGGATAATCAATGATTTACTATGGACACGGTGGAATCTCTATTGCTTAAAGACTTAAACAGCAAAAGTGAAGGTTTTTTAGAAATATGTTTGAGCTCCACTGCACTATGTTAATATGGTACAATGTAAAATTCTGCTGATGTTATGAAGGAGGCTAGACACAGTATAATATTTTCCTATAGACTTAAAATCTCTAATACGCAAGTATTTTAAAAAACTTTGTTATTTCATCAGTAAGCTGATGTTATCAATGCAAAGATTTATTGTTAGAACTCACAGTGATTTTACTTTTTTATGTATATTATGGCAGATAGAAGATATGCACACAAATTCAAACTTCCATTTGTTGACTTCAATGCACAGTTACTATAGAATCATAGAATGGTATGGGCTGGAAGGGAACATAAAGATCATGTAGTTCCAACCCCCCTGCCATAGGACCAGGTTGCCCAAAGCCCCATCCAACCTGGCCTTGAACACTTCCAGGGATGGGGCATCCACAGCTTCTCTGGGCAACCTGTTCCACTTCCTCACCACCTTCACAGGGAAGAATTTCTTCCCAGTATCTAATCTAAATCTGCCCTCCTTCAGCTTAAACTCATTACCCCTTGTCCTGTCACTACACTCCCTGATAAACAGTCCCTCTCCAGGTTTCTTGTAGGCTCCTTCAGGTACTGGAAGGCTGCTATAAGGTGTCCCTGGAGCCTTCTCTTCTCCAGGCTGAACAATCCCAACTCTCTCAACCTGTCCTCATAGGAAAAGTGCTCCATCCCTCCAATCAGCTTCATGGTCCTCCTCTGGACTCGCTCCAACAGCTCCATGTCCTTCTTGTACTGGGGCCCCCAGAGCTGGATGCAGTACTCCAGGTGGGGTCTCACCAGAGCAGAGTAGAGGGGCAGGATCACCTCCCTTGACCTGCTGGTCACGCTGCTTTTGATGCGGCCCAAGACACAGTTGGCTTTCTGGGCTCGAAGCGCACACACATCATCAATCAATACCCCCAAGTCCTTCTCCTCAGGAATGCTCTCAGTCCATTCTCTGCCCAGCCTGTGGTTGTGCTTGGGATTTCCCTGACCCATGTGCAGGACCTTGCACTTGGCCTTGTTGAACTTCATGAGGTTTGCACAGGCCCACCTCTACTACAGCTTTTTTACATTGTTACCGGGAGCCGTTCTTGACAATGAAGATAGCACAGAAGTATAGTGTATTTGATGCAAAAAGATACAAGACTGCTTCACAGTTTAACTCTTTCTAATAATATTTCTCTTAAGGAACTCCTACCGGTACCTAAACCTATCCCCAAACCTGAGCTCATTCCTCTAAAGCATACAGCTTTTAGACCAGTAAGAAAATTTTCTTTAGCAGCTGCAAGGATGTAAAATCAGCAATTAAACAGAAGACAAAAGGCTGGAAAAAGGAGCATGTCTGACTCGGGCCATTAGAAAAGAAATGGCTGGAGGCTGTACGTCAGAAAACCAGAGCACACATTATTTGACACCATTAAAGTAGGCTACAGTAGTTAAAGGTGCAACTGTGGCAGTGACACAACACAGCTTCTAGTAATACAGAAATAAAGGTTGTGGCAAAAAGCCTGAAGAAGATCAATCAGTGTTTGTCCATAAAAGACATACAAAAGATTATCTGAGGTACAGAGCACATTCTCACATGTGCTCAAGCTACAGACACATGATGCATTAAAATATACAAGGCAAACTAAAGTCAACTTAAAAGAAAAAAAAAAAAAACCCACACATGACACAAACCCTTAAAACTTTCCACAATTTAGAACTAATGGAGCTGTAGTTATTTTTATATGGAAACTGAACCTGTAAGTCTAGACACTACATATGTAACAACCTCAAACCAAAGCTAAGCCTGAGCTTTAAAAATGTTAACCCAGTATAACTAGTATAAGGACATGGCTTGAGCCTGCAGGGATGATGTAACAGCAGTGCCAAGTGCCACTGAAGACCAAGGACACAATCAAACAGATTCTCTTGACACTCTTGCACTACCTGCCACTTCTGCAAATTTCCTGCTGTTTACCGAACTACCAGCTCTGCTAAGGCATCAGTATGCATTATCACTTCTTTACTTATTTCAGGTAGGTTATTTAAAAAAAAAATCACTGTTTAAAGTAGTTAAACACTATTGACTGGAGCACGTTAGGGAGCAAATACAACAGTAGCTTAAGCCAACAGGACTGAAGGGGCAGTGATGAACACCTGGAAACTGAAGAAGGCAGGAAGATCTTCAGGGAGGGGAGAAATGGGATCCAAATGCAACTCAAGGGCCACTGACATTTAAGGAGACAGTCAATATTGGTAATAAGGCACAAATGTCAATAAGAAATGAAAGAATGTCATGACAAAAATCTACTTTTACTGAGCCAGTACTAAGAGTACAGATACACTGTATTCACAGAGGTCAATCAAAGCTATAATCTGTTGGGGTTTTAATGGCGAAAATAACAGCTATCCAGAAAATTTGCTCCTACTGTTACAGTGCTTTGAAATCAGGAATAAAATACATTGATCCTGGATGATAGCTCAGATAGAATGTACACGGAGCACCAAACTCAGTTGTCTGTAGAATGGACCCTGTAACAAAATTTTACAGCTTTGTATCTGTAAAATTCATCGTTAAACTTGCAGAACACTTTTTCTTCATTTTAATTTCTTTTTAATTAATATCTACTTAAAGGTCATGCCAGGACCTTGTCAAACTAGGAAAGCAAGGCTAAACAGGAATTGCTTTACAGGGCATTAATATCATCCTCACATCGAGGGGGGTAGCAGGACTGCTGCAAGGAGGTCCGGAGCACTCCCTCTTCCTCCAGGGAACCCGCTTCCTCCTGGCTGAGGGAGCAGGACTGGAACCCAGGTTTCTCAAATCACAGAAACACACAATAAGTGGAGGGTGAGCCCAGGAGCTCGCTTCTGAAATGGTCAGTAACATTCCTTGGAAGAAAATGCACATGCATGTGTCTATCCACTTGGATCTCCTTCTGTTTGGGATGTGGAGATTCCAATGCAATTATTGGCTTTGCGGTGTTCCAGCTAGCTGGGTAGGTGTTTAAAATTAGACAAGATCACTGTCCCATGGGAGAAAGATCAGAAACTTTGTGTACACCTTGTCACTGGAACTGATACAAATGCTGTAGATATTGTGAGAGAATAAAATATGAAAACACAGATCTCATAGTTTAGTTTTAGAATGAAAGGGGTTTAGATCTTGATAAACTTTAAACATTTTCTGTCATAATAAAAATCACTGCCAGATAATAACATCATCCTATTCATCAATTATCCAGGGCAAGTTTTTTTTCTTTTTAAGAATCACCAGTGCATGAATGTTGGAACAATGCTCTTGGGTACAGTGTTTTACCTACTTTTATACTCTAGAGAAAAAGAACATTTAAATCAATAAGTCAACTCAGAATACTTTGTGCCTCTAACAGTTTCAGGTAGTTCACTTGAAAATGTAGTTGCTAGCCTTATCCATCTTCTAGGTTTGAGAGTGATCAGTTGTTTTCTCAGTCACAGCTACAATACTATGTTGTTTTTATTAAATCATGTAGCTGACACACAGCAGCCACACACCGATGCAATTCTCATTTATGTTGTCACCTTATCTGCAGGGCTTGCATTTGTATTGAAGCTGCTCTCATGCAAATAAGGGTAAAGCACTCGAACACACCCTTCCTTGTGAAGTGTACAATTAACCACATACTATTTCAGTGAGGCAAAATGATCTACAGAACCTCAAAGCCTATGAATTACCAGTCTGAAAGCAGCTATATTTTAGGTAATAAAGTCAACATATGTAACATACTATATTGACACTATATGTTATTAAAGAGTAGTCAAACAGAACAGTTGTAACAGCTTTTCCCTCCTTAAAAAGTAAAGCAAAATTCCATCATTGTCAGTGGTGTCCTCATACCCAAGAAGCATTCATTTATCTGTTTGCCTGTGTGCTGACGTTTCGGTAATCCTTTTTGGCAGGAAGCCACCAAGGGCTGAACTTTGAGGTGCTGGTGCTCTTACAGCTAACCCTGGTAACTCCACTGAGCTGCGGAGCACTGGGCTTTTTGTAGAGTTCAGACTGAACTCCTATTAACAATTGTATCCACACTGGAAATGCGGTGATTTGCATTTGCACAGGCTCAAATCTACTGTTGTAAATGTACGGTATAAACGCAATGGCTGCAGCAGTTTCCCTCTACACTTTACTGCAGTATGGGCTATATCCAGTTTCAAAACCTTCCAGAAACAATTCAATCCAGCTAAATTGTTATTTCCTGAAACTGCAGACAGTAACTGTGATAAACAAGACCACAATCCATCAACACGGATGAGCGTGGCCCAGACCTTCAATGTTTCATGTACATCTACACAGTAAACAGAGACCTACAAGATCAGCAGTGGAAACCTCTGTTTTGATTTTCCTGGAAAACATTAAATGGATTAATAGAATGGGCAAAGGGTTTTTTCTGATCTGAGTTCGAAGGCTCAGGATGTGTCCTCACAGCTCACTGTTCCTGAATGCACTCAGAGAAAGAACTGCCTAATTCTAATTAAACGTTTATCAGTGATGACCTGTTAAGCCACAACGATGTGTAACTTCACTGGTAGATCACACAGGCTACAGGCAGGCTTCTATTTTGGAAGCAGAAAAGAACAGGCCAATCAATAACCACTGACACATACAGCACAACTTTTTAAAGGTTAATTTTGAAGTATAATATTTCATTCATTTGAAAGTATCAAAGTAAATAAAGAAGCGTATCTTAATCTGATTTCACCGAAGTCAACAACACATGACAAGTCACCTTACAGTCTGAAATGAGAGTTTAAAATCTACTGCTTACAGCTAATCTGATCTTGAAATTCTTTTGATCTTAAGATAAGAGTAGGGAGTGTTACTATTATTCTTGATGATTTAGTAGCAAATAATCTGTTCTCGCATTAGGAACGTGACCTTGCACAGCTTTAGAGGCTCAAAGGAGGCTACCATGTTTCTAGTCCTTAGGGTAGATGAATAATCAACACAACAGCATTCTTCAGACAGTTCACAACTGATGTTTTGTTTGTTTTAATACCTTCTTGAAAAATGCTCAGAAACCCTTATAACTACCAGAGTCCACAGTTCTATTATCATAGACAGGATGCTTTAGTAGGATTTAAAACGTTTTCTATATGAATAACTATGAAAGGTGCTGTAATTGTAGTACTGAAACCTGTAATCCTGCAAGAGTTGTAGTACAAGACTTCTTTTATTGCCCTTGCAGTGTGTCTCAATACTAACCTTTCTCATCCATAAGCAGAAGCATACAGAAAAAAAAAAAAAAACTTCTGAAGGAAAATTATTATTTTCCTGGCTTTATAGGGGTTACATCAACGGAGCAAATCCAAATTACCATCAGGGTGGTGTGGGGAGTGTTAAAAAAAAAAAAGAATACACAGATACAGCAGGATTTAGACCCAACATGAACTTCCTCCTGGCAGCTGCTGTTCACAGGCTGTGTTTGGCTGATGACCTAACACTTCATGTGACATGTGGGGACGTAACCCACAGCTGTGAGAGGAAAACTGAGTATGGATTAAGAGCTCGCTGCCTTCCAAGTCAGAGTCACAGAACTGAGGCAGATACAAGATCTTACAGATTTACTAGCAAGATACTGAGGCCATTTCAGAACCTCTTGTCAATCTGTTTCACAATAATCACTCACTGAAGTGCACCCATCCTCTGTCGCTGCTGCAAAAACTCAAAAGCCCTCAAGAAATATTATCTGTGATTCCTTTGTAAAACAGAACACTCCTATGTATGAACAATTTTATTTGCATATGCTTTTATTTTTCCCCATCTGCTTGGCATTTCTTCTCAGAAGTATGCCATTTCCTAAAGATTGAACTGTCTTTATTTACTCAGTCTAAAATTCATACATCTCTGCTTCTAAGAAAAATGCTAAGAATAAGAAACAGGTGAAATTTTAGAAGCAAAGAATATCTGGAGTGGAACTGCTTCTAACCGCACAAACCAAAGAAAATGAAATTAATCTGAAGTGTTTCAAAATAATGCTTTTCAAAGGCTTATTATTTAAATGAACTCTGTAGCAAAACCCAGCATTTGTCTCATTTATTACCTAGGAAAGAAAATATATTCCAGTGCGCTGAATGCCTAAATGGCAGAGGTGAGGAGGTCATTCAGCACACAAGTGAAGCGCGAAGTAGCTTTTGTCTGCTGTAGGTCTACAAAAGCGGCAGTCAACTGGCCATTACTCTGCTCCTGATCAGACTTTACCTTTTCTGAACTCTAGTGCAAACTTAATATGCAACAGTCCCAGAGCACAGAGCTGGCGTGCAGAGGGTCCCGTAAGTCCTATTTGTGAAGTATTTGGCAGAGTTTTGTTTATGACTTTATATTCCATAGAGTGTGTAAATCTAGTAAAAAAATTTGTTGCAAAATATCATGTAAGAATTACAAATACTAATCCTCAGCGGATCATCTTCATACTCGCATGCCCTGGATGTTGTCATTCTTTGCCATAACAGAAATGTGATGGTTGACCATAACACTGAGGACGAAATACAAAGCAGTTCTGAGAGGTTAAAAGTAAAGGCTGTGCAGAATTAGGCTCCTAAGTTCATGAGAGCAACCTATATGCAGCCTTCCACTTACTCTGCTAAAATGCCTATGATTTAGGCAAAAAGTTGTGAGTTTTGCTGCTCTACATATCTAACAACAAATACATCCTGGTGGAGTGGGCTGTACAGGCATATGTCATTAACCAAAGGCCATCTGGAATCTAGAAACTAGACCTCCCTGTGTTTTATGTCCCCATATGAACTTAATTGGTTAGCTGAGCAATGACAGCAGTTACCTTTTATAAAAAAAAAAAAAAAAACACAAACCAACAAAACCCAAAATCCCTTAGTGGCTAGAGCATCTGCCAAGGAAGTAAAAACGTTAAGTCCTAGGCCCTGTGGGAGTATGAGCCTACAGCTTCCATGCTCCTGGCCAGCACCAAGGCACCAGCCTCAGCAGGATACTCGGAGCAGGAACAACCACCAGCCCCTCTCAAACAGGGCCACTAAATTGCAAGGTCACAGGGAATGCAGATGAGGTCACCCGTCAGTGTAGCTCAGGACTTAGGGCACTCAAGACGGTATCAAGGTTCCAGATCCTGCTGCTAAGGTCTACTTGTGTTTTACACTAGGCAACCACTGGATTAAAACAGAAAAACAAGCAAGAGGGTAATTACTCTGAATCCTACTTCCAAGGCCAAATATTTCACTTTTACATGGTGCAGTACTGCAACCTTAAAACCTTGTTTTGGATGTGTACCAAAGATCTTTCAAAATGCTTGCTACATACACACTACCTCATCTTAGCTCCACTGGCACTTTCTGGAACTAAACTTAAGAAATGTGGTTAAAACATTTTGAGAAAATGAGACTAACCACTGAATTTATTTGCTAGTGACAGATAAGCAAAGAAGGTGGAAGCTCATTAGTGAAATTCAGCCTGTCTTAAAGTTTCTAACAAAGACTATTCTTTGAGAAGTAATTTTGTCAAATATTTCATGAAAAAGATACTAAGAGAAACAGTAAAAGAAAAGGAGGTGCTTGAAACGAAACTGTTTTACTCAGTAGATGCAAACTTTTCAACTTTGAAAAGCCCTTCTAAGCATCTTTGAGGCTTGCATGTTTTTTAACTACTGATGTTAAGTTATAAATCATTAAGATTAGAGATTTGTTTTTAATCTGAATAGTCTTCCTAATTTTTTTTAAGTTAATCTTCAAAATTATTATTTTTTTAAATGACAGGTATGGCAAAATAAGTTTTACCTAATTGCTTATGGGCTTCAATTTCAGCTTTATGTTATTTTATTAATTTCTACGCTTTTCACTTTTATAAGCACAATACGTAATTGCCTTACTTAGATATGTATGAAAATACACATGTATGCAGTTATCTATAAATACACTGGAAGCTAAAAAAATGTTCTTATACATCCTTTACACTATTCCTTGAATTCAGTTAACATTTAATGCTTACCAGCACTGTATGTATGGGAATAAGCAGTAGCAAAAACACCCCCCACAACTGAAATAGTTGAAAAAGTCATACTATTGTTTTGCCAATAGATTTACTGTACCTGGTGTGGATGGTCTCTCCAACATATTCAAATGATGGTAAATAAAGGCTTGACTGTCATGAACTGTGTCCATATCAATTTCCTCCTCTTCTTGAGAGTTTGAGAACTAAGATATCAGGAAAAAAAATAAGCAGATGCCAATAATTCATAGGAATATCACTAGATAGAACTTAAAATATTTTATTTTTGAGGAAAACTGGGGGTGAGAGGGAAAGGAAGTGATATCTACCACTGCAAAGGAATACAAATTCAGTAAAATTAAAAAGGGTCACTGTGTTTTCTTCTTTCTAATTTACCGTGAAGCTGTGTGAACAAGAGCATTAACTGTCAACTTTAGTTCTTGCCAGCCAATAAAGAATCTGATGGGAAATGATTTTGCCAAAGTAAGCGTAACAACTACTGTACACATATACACAACATATCTTTTGTTTGAACACAGCTTTAAGGGAAGTCAGCAGAAGCCTCTGCTGTTACTCTGAATATCCTACATATTGTGCAAGTTGAATTTCCATTTCTTACTCTGATTTTGAGTTTGACTTTACTGTCTTCATTCTTCTCTAGTATTTGCCCTGGCTCCAATGGAGACCCGAGTGGCATATCAGCCTTCCTCTTCACCCCCTGCTGATGACCAGAAATGCTGGATGCTGTTTCCTTAATAAGATGATCATCCTCCTGAAGCAGCATTAAAAGACCAAAATTAGAAGATAGCAAGAGCCATGTTTCAGCCTAAAAGAGACCTGATAGCTGAAAACACTTCTGAGTAAAGTGGGTGATTTGAACAAAGTTTTCCCTGTAGTTCTGGCAAAAAGTATTTTCTAAAACCCTGTATGGATTTGTGCCAACCTCTCCTACAAACATAGTTTCTCTTTCCTTCTATCCCTGCTCCCTCCACATATCTAGCATTGGCATCTTTTCTGTCCCTTCTCACAATCATGGTACTGTTGGTGTGCAACAACATTTGCTGCCCCTGAATAGCCTTTCTATAAATCTGTGCCTTGCAGACTCTCCTCAGTCCAAATCTCAGTTGAAAAACTGTGATAGCCTCTGATCTACACATGGGATTTAGCTAAATCTTCTTTTAGTTAGCTTTAAAAGGTAACGGTTACTTTGTTGAATACAAATCATAACAAGTAGGTGTAACTTGGGGAGTTTTTTTGATGTTACAACAATATTTATTAAAAAGAGTTAACCTGTTTTGTAAATTATTGCTTAGATTATCAACATAAACAGGGTCAAAGGAATATAAAACTAGCAGGAGAGTCTACTAAATTACACATATAGTCATTAAAACAGGAGACAGGTGTTCCAACAAGTCCAATACACAGAATATAGAAGGAAAAATAAAGTACCCACAGAAGCAAACCCAATTAAAAGCCCACTAAAAACTAGATAAAAACTGTATCACAGACGCTCAAGAGCATGCGCTGCTCCACTGAACTGCTCTTCCTCTGTCCTACAAAGGGCACTCCAGTCCCACAAACTCTTGCCCTGAACAATTCAAATTCAATTTTATGAAGTGGGTAACTTTTTCTATTCTCAGCAAATCAAGTGACACAAGTCTATCAGTACTGATTTTGACATGTTTATGCTCTCGGAATATACAGTCTGCTTTAAAGAATCTAGTTACTCTATTTATTCTATTACCTGTTAATTCTTTTTTACCTCCAATATGTATTTCCCTTTTTTAATCCCTGTTATTTAACCTAACACACTGCTGTTGTGAAACACTTTTGGATAAACTTTGGCTGATGTGAGAGGCAGCCTTTGTTTTATATTACTGGTTTGGGTTTTTTTCCACAAGGAAAATAATTTCCCTAAATTTTGGAGGAGTTACAGTGAAAATGGTAATCTTAAAGTAAGGGGTAGGATGATGGAGATGAGGCACAGGAGAAGATACAATGGATGAAGTGTGAATTGAGGCTTGTACTAATGCTGTATTTTCAGCCCAGTGTAAGCCAGTACTGCTGCTAAAAGCAGCAGCCTCTTCCCTTTCCCCATACATTTCTGTCCTGGGCCACCTCAAGCATTTGTATAACTACATCATGAACTGGACCAGGAAACTGACCCAGCAGGAAACATCTGTTCATAAAAAAAGGTATTTTTCAACCTGATCCTCCCCTGATCCAGCTCACTATGCAGCAACAACTGTGCTAGCACAAGGGAGAGGACAGTATAGGAAAAAGAAGAGTTAAGAGGAAATTTTTTGATTAAGATAGTCTGGCTGCTGAAAGTTTGGACATTTACTGGATTGCAGCCTGAAAATCTGCCAACAAAATGCCTCCTGCTATTTAATTCTGATACCTGTGTGCAGCTAATTAGGACTTGTTACATGTTCTGTAAATATGTAGGATAGCTCTAATGATACTTGACTCCATCATAATTTTCTCCCCCTACTGGAAATAGCCTGCAAGATAGTGTGATAATTTGCACTCAGTATTCTTCTGAATAAAAAGGATTTAGAAATTAACTATGGGATTGATAAAGCAACAGTAAATCATTCAAAAGGGTGGAAAGAGTATCAAACATGCTAACCACATGTTCACATTCTCTTTCCGGATTTACTCCTAAGCAGTTTCAATCAAATGTAGTTTTTAAAACTGTTAAGAAAATTACTTATTA